CCTCCCCCTCCTCCTCCTCCTCCTCCTCCTCCTCCTCCTCCTCCTCCTCCTCCTCCTCCTCCTCCTCCTCCTCCTCCTCCTACTCCGTCCATCCTCACTCTCTTCCCCACTCTTTCGGGCTGCGCCAACCACGCGCGGCAGGTAAGGGAGACAGCCCCCAAGGGGGGCCCGATCGATCGAAGACGAAGAGGGCGGGTCGCGAGGGTTAGGGATACACGTGTTGCATGGCATTCGAGCAGAAAAGAGCCAGCAGTATTCAAACGAGTTTGCTGTCGCTTTTGTTTTGAATTATCGCGTTGGAAGAATAAGTACTGTATTGTCGATCCCCCACTGGTGCATATGGGGCTTCAGCAAATGAGAAGCCTCCCCGCCAGGTTAGCACCTGGCTCTGACATCCGGGAAACTATTCCTGCTCAAATTGCGTTGTTGCCCCCGCGGCTACTGCAACACCAACAACAACAGCAGCAGCAGCAACAACAACAGCTCCCGCCTTTTATAGTTTCACTATGTTCTGTTACAGCAAAAGTAAAAGAACGCGCTCTCGCACGGGACGTCCTCACATTGCATGCAGGGTTCGCGCTCTCGCGTGGGACTTCCTCGCAGCTTACAGTACTCATATGCAGCGCCTTCGACACTCAGGAATCACGCTCTCGCTCTGGACTTCTCCACGATTTTCTTTGGAATCGCGCTATCGCTCGAGATTCCGTCGCGATTCATGTATGGCTCACGCTTCAGAAACCCGCCCGCTCGACCTGGACACCAGGGCCCGCCTTATCCGTCCCGACCGCAAGGGTCTGCCCGTCCGATCTGCCCGTCTGGTTCTGTCTTACTCGTCCAAAATCCGCCTGTAGGAGGACACGCCCGACCTAATCCAAGCCCCCCTCCTGCTTGTTTCTCTCTTGCTCCATCTTTCGCCCTCCCCCTTCCATCCGTTCTATTTTCCCCTGCTTTAGGGGCTGCGCTAAATTCACGTGGCAGGTAGGGAAGGTATACCCCCAAGGGGGCACGATCGAAGACGAAGAGGGCGGGTACCGAGGGTGTGCGACATACATTTCGAGTGGCACGCGAGCAGATAGGAGCGAACAGTCTTAAGATAATTGTTGTTGTCGTCGTCCTCGCCCAAGGCCCACCCGCGACCCACCCCGCCCCCGCCCTCGAACTCTTATCCGCAACTGCGGGGTGCTACGCACTGTTTCTTGAACCCCCTGTGCTGTTGGGTCCTCGCCTTCTCTCCACTGCGCCGCGCGTCCGCCTCCCTCCTCCCCCCTTCCGGTCCTGCTGCCTGCTTCCGTTGCCCAGCCGTTGTTGTCGTTGAGGCCGTTGCCAGACGACGCTGCTGACGCGGGGTCTGCCAGCCACTGCTGCTGCTGCTGCTGCTGCTGCTGCTGCTGCTGCTGCTGCTGCTGCTGCTGCTGGTGCTGCTCGTGCTGCCTGCACGTGCGTTTCGGCTTGGAGTCGGCTGGGGGTCTGAGGTGGCCCAGCGCTGGCTGCGGCCAGCAGCAAGGGAGGGCTCGGATCGAGGTTTCTGGGTGCGCGAAAGTTTTTTCATGCTTCAGCCTCCAGGAGCAGCTTTCGGGCCCCTGGACCGGCAAAGCGGACCCGAGGTGAAAATTGTACCAGATGCACCCGGGGACAGATTTTGAGCGGATTTGCCGTTATTCCCCCCTCCTTGGCCGAATGTCTCGGGCCTCATCCAGTTCAGACACCCCCGTCCGCTTCCAAGTTTCGGCACGCCCTTCTCGCGGATCGTGTCCCATGTGGAGCTCCGCTCGTGACCCCGTTTGCGGATTTCGCAAGCGACCCGTCGCCAATGTCGGTACACTTTTCACACGGATCGCCCTTCATAAGGAATTGGTCTTGTGGTCGCGTTTGCGGAAGTCGCATGCGGCCCTTCTCCCATGTCGACGCACCCTTCACACGGATTTCTCCCCATAGGGAGCCCCTCCTCAACGGAAACGAATAAAACACATGCGATGTGCACGATTACATGTTGTTCTGTCTGTTTATAGATATTGCAACTTCCAAGTGGCCATAAGAAAATAGGTATACAATGGGCGACTATTACAGTAACGAGCGTCGCTTATGCTGAAGTGCCCATATGCCGAATTGGTCTAGTTGGCCAGGGCCTGTGACGATTAAATGACGGCCAAGAACGCCGTATGAATGGGAATGCCATGCACATAGCCCGATTCCGCTTTTGATCACATCCGAGAAGACATGCAGAGTCGATTGATTTCAAGGCGCAAGGGCAAGGCAATTGTTCTGCCAGGCTGCAGAGTATGCCATCGTTTTCCCTGTGGGATGCGACGTGCGACGAGAAAGGTTTCAGAATCCTCCTCATCTCCTTCTGAACCATCCTCAGTTCCCGAGGACATCCCCAATTTGCACGTCATGATGGTGCTCAGGTCCCTGGCCTCGCGCAGCTACCTCTCGGAGAAGTTCAACTGGCAGTGGCACTACTACTTCCTCACGAACGAGGGCATCGAATACCTCCGCGAGGCTCCTCCCCGCCGCTCGTCGCTGAGCTCTCCTCGCCTCCCACCCTGCGTCGAAGGCGCCCAGCTGCACCCCACCCCTCCTGCCCCCCTCATGCCCCATCCTGCCCCTGCGCCTGCCCGCCTGGAACTCAGCTTCTCAGGCAGCACATCGAGCGGGGACGCGGGTCCCGCATGCGCTCCCCCCCCCCGCCCGCGCGCGCCACGCCGCCCCCCCCCGGAGAACGGAACCCCGAGCCACCACGCGGGCGCCAGACCCCCCGCTCCTGCTCCCGCCCCCGCCTCCCGGCGATAGCAGCAGCACCCAGCGACGAGGACGACGCCTGCAGCGGCGCCGACGACGACGACGCCGCCGACGACGAGGACGACGACAACGACGAGGACGACGACG